TTGGGGGTGGGGACATTTGGTCCCAAGAGCCTCCAGGACTTCCCCATCGGTGGCCCAGGTCAGAAGCTTCCCCGCTGCAGCTACCTCACTTTCTTCCAGTCCAACAGCCCTGACTGCTTCCAAGCCTTGAGTCAGAGGGAGTCCAGGGCCACTCCACTCACAACAGTGTTGTGGAGCGACTGCAGGTAGGAGAGCTGACTGGTCACTGACTGGGAATGTGCTTCTGGTAGAAGGGACCTGGGAAGTCTGCACTGTATGAGCTTAGAGCAGGAATCTGCATCTTCGGTTAGCTGAAGCTATATCAAAGCACACTTTACAATTGGCACACTCCATATCTACACTGTCCAATATCGGAGCTACTGGTCACCTGTGGCCACCGAGTCCTTGAAATGTAGCTACAGAGCCAATTAAGTAACTTTTTTTTCTAAGTTATTGTGTGTGTATGTGTGTGCCATGGAATATGTGTGGAGGTCAGAGGGCAACTTTGTGAAATCAGTTCTTCTCATGGGTTCTAGAGATCCAGGCCAGATCACTTGAAGTACTTTTACTGACAGAAACATCTCTCCAGCTCCCAGTGAATTCTACTCTATTTTAGCTACTTTTTCATTTAGAGAGCTAAATGGGCTAAAGCTACAATTCTGGGCAGAGAACACTTGGGACAACCTAGTATCTTCCAGGAGAATGCTGAGACCTAGGGACAGATGATGCTCTTGCCCTGACCCTTGAGAGCAGGACCAAGATTAGAACTCTTTAAAACAAAACTGCCATTTCTCTGAGGAGACAGATCATTCTATCTATCTATCATCTATCTATCTATCTATTTATCTATCTATCTATCTCTATCTCCCTCTTCCTTTCTCCCAATAAACTTTCCACATTAAAAAATAAAATAAAATAAGACTTGATACAGGGTTTCATGCAGCCCAACCTAGGCTACATTGGGGGAGAAAAAAAAAAAACCAGAAGTGGCAGTTGAGCAATGTCCAATCTGGGCTCCTTTTCCACACCAATGGCATTTTGATTGTCTGGAACAAAGCAGTATCTATGGGCTGGGGAACCTGAGGCTGGCTGACACTGGGATCCCGCTCCTTGTGTCACTTGACAAAAGAACATTTAAGAGCAGATTTTTAAATCCATTTAAAAACGTTTACAGCCCGGTTCGGCTGTGTCACTCTAGGTGCATTGCTTCACCTCCTGGAACTTAGTTTCCTCATCCAGAACGTCCGACTGCATAGACTGACGAGAGGCCCTTTGCCTGTAAGGCTGCAAGCCAGTCAGCCATCCAAATTACAGCTAGTATGACTGCTGTTATCCAGCTCAGGACTACCTGAAAACGAGGTAGGCTTGCTACTCTCCCTGACCAGGACCGGGGATGTGATAGGAAAGAATACATCTGAAGATACACTATCTCCATTCTAAGAGTCACAGTACAAGCTGGCATTGTGTTGTGTGTGCGTATGTGCATGTCTGTGCATGCGTGCATGTGTATGTGTGTGTGTGTATGTGTGTGTGTGTGTTAGTGTCACACATATCTATTGCTCACCCACGGGTAACCATCCTTTACTTCCAGATTTTATCGTCCACTGGCCTAATCTTATTTTATTCTTCCCTAGAGGAGGAAAGAAACCAGACAAATACTAAGGAATGTTTGCTGCAGCTGGATGCTAGGATGGTTCCCACACTGTCCCCTGGACATGTAGATAATGGATGTCCATGACTCTACCTTTAGTAACCCTTCACTTTTTTTTAATCACTAGCAAAGGGGACAAGATACGTCCCTGGTGTCAAGTATTCAAAATGTGTCAATTGTAGCAGGTTTCTTATGGGCCACCAACCAGCTCCCAAATCATGACACAGAGACTTATTATTAGCTATGAATGTTCAGCCTTATCTTAGCTCTTATAACTTAAATTAACCTGTTTCTCTTCATCTACATTTTGCCTTGGAGCTTTTTACCTTTCTAAAGAAATGGAAACTCTGCATGTCCTACTCAGTGTCTGACTGGCAGCTGCCTAACTGGCTAGCCCTGGGCATCTCCTTTTTCTCCCTGGTTCTCTCCCCCTCTTATCTCTCAAGCCTAGATTCCTCCTCCTCCTCATTCTCTCTGCCTGTCAGCCCCACCTAGCCCTCTACTGCGTAACTATTGGCCATTCAGCTCTTTATTAGACCAATCAGGTACCTCAGGCAGGAAAAGCAACACATCTTTACAGAGTTAAACAAATGCAGCATAAACAAATGTAACACACCTTTACATAGTTAAATATTCCACAACAGTCAATACTGGGTTGGGATTTTCACTTTTAGCAAAAGGCTGTTTTCAAAGGAGAGGGTGTTGGCTCCCAGGGTGGGTCAGCAATGCCGTGGCGCTGACAGGTTTATGAGCCAAGAAAACACAGCAACACCCAAAACTGGGCCCATGGTGAGAGCACCAGTGGCTGGGAGAAAAGCAAAAGAAAAGGGAGGAAGGGCTGGAGCCCCACGTTGGGTGAAGATGCTCAGTACACAGCGAGGAGGAAGAGTCTGGCTGCTTTTGAAGAGTTTAGAGGAGAGAAAACAAGCAGCCTCTAGTCTAGAGAGGGGCATGGTTGCAAGTGCCAGGACCTCCATGTCCAGCTCTGCTGCCTGGCTTAACTACCCCCACTTAAACCAGAAAGAGAAACAGCAGGGCTGACGGTAGACCCACTTAGGGCAGCTGGAGTAGGGAGAGTCAGAGCCCAGCTGCAGGTACCAGTGGCTTTGAGATGAAGCAAAGACAGGAGGGTGTGGTCCTATGCAAATCCCTTCCTTTATTTGGGCCTGTTTCCTCCCCACTAACACCTGCAAAGACAGGCTAGAAAACCTCATTGGGTCACTACCCAGTATGAGCCTTCTAAATCCATTAGATGACTCCATCTGTGGGCCGGGCTGGGAAATCATATTCAAAGCATCAAACACATCCCATACCCTCAGGAGTTCCTCTCCTGCTTGAGCAATCTAATCTGCCCCTCACTTCCTCTAGACAGTTCTCACTGCCATTGCTCTTTGTGGGTCCCAGCCACCTAGCTCAGATGTCCCACGGGTGAAAAGCTAGCATCCTGGTGAGTCTGAAACACCCCAAGTACCACTGTCTAGAATTTCTCTCTTTGTCCCTCTTCACCTAGCCTGACCCTGGGTATGTCCACCCCCATCCCTGGACCCATAAACATTAGGCCTTCTTACCATAGAAGAACTCCTGAGCCCTTCCTGTACCCTCCAAAACCTACTTAGAACTACATGCAGCCCAGCCCCTACCTGCAGTCTTCCCAAGCCTGCCTACCATCCTTGCCTGGGCTATAGTTGGGTCTGGAGATTCACCGGGCACTGAGGACTTCACACTCCTGCAGCATTTATGGGCTGTAAAATGACTGGTTTATCTGTCACTGAAAAGATTGCCTGAAAGGTTTGGGTCCTGAAAAAATCCCACATGCTTGAGCTTTTTCATGCACCTCACTAATTCATCCCATCCATTGGGGTTTCTGGGCTAATGTAAGTTTCAAGCAGGAGCACCCACTGCATCCCATAGGCCACAACAGGGCACTTGAAGATGTTTGGTTTACCATTCCAGCAATAGCTATTTCATTAATTTGCAACCTAAGGGGTGGCAAAAGATGGTGATGCCCAAGTTCCCAAGCAATAAGAGGGAACTGTGCCCACGTTGACTAAAAAAGATAATTGAAGAACTTAGCTATTTGGGGTCATAACTCTATGGTAGAATGTGTGCGCTTCCTCATTGGGAATGATAAATGTAAATGCTTAGCCATTGAACATACCTACCATGAGAAGCACGATCTTCCAACGATAAACCAAAGACAATAAGTGGAGCTGATAAACCAACGACGTGTAATCAGAGTTGTAGAGATGAATTCTGGCAACACCAGGACAGCCCTCTGATCACAGGCTGGTTACTGAGCCTCTCTGAGCCGTATCTTCTCTCCAGCAAACACAGGCTGATCACGCCACTTGTAATGACCAAGGGAAAAATCTTGAACAAAGCAGATCCCAACCGTTACTTTCCTTTGTCCCTTCAGCCACTAACGCATCCCTTTTGGAGATTAGTGCATTAAGACACAAACAGCAAACCTTGTCCCTTTGCCGATGACTATGTTGTTAGTCCCTCCTGGTCCTCTCCTCTGAGTGTCTGCCTTCCATCCTGGTCTTCATGGTCTCTTTATGGAACGCTGAGCCTGCCCTTGCTGCCTGGGAGTGGGAGCTGCTCACAGTCCTGCATTTTACTTGCTTTCCAAGATCTATCTACCTGCCAAACTCAGGTGGTCAAACTGGGGAGCAAGTACTTTTACCCAATAAGCCACTTCCCCAAACTTTTTTGTTTGGCTTTTGATTTTCGTTGTTTGTTTGGTTGATACTGTTGTCTTTGTTTTTTGAAAGGGTTTCATACAGTCTAGGCTAGCCTTAATAACTTTAAAAGTCCTGAGAGTCAGGTGTGTGCTAAAACCCAAACCCGAGTCCTCTGCAAGAGCAGCCAGTGCTCTTAACCACTGAGCTGCCTCTCTAGCCCCATTTTTTGTTATGCTTATTATTACTGCTTTAATATTCTTATTTATTTTCTAAGACTGTGTTCTCCAGTTAACCTTTTTATTTTTAATGTTTTATTAGCATATTTAGTTATGCATAATAATGAGTTTAACTCTAACATTTACACACATATTTATAATGCGTTTTTACATCCTTGGCTATCCAGAATGCTTGAGGCCAACCAAGATCCTATTTCAAGAAGAAAAATGTCTTGAAGGGAACTGTATGTAGTCTTTATCCTTCACACACACACACACACACACACCAAAATGCCTAATATTTTGTCTCAAATGCTTACTGCTATCAGTTTCAGATTTGAAGGGAAAAATGTCTTCCTTGTAATATGCAAGCCAATGCAACAAATACTTATATCCCAGTTCCTTGGGTGGACAAACAAGAATCAGGATAACTTTGCTGTGTCATAACTGTCATCTCTCCTCTATTGACAGGACTGAGTTTACTTCAAAAATGGGAGAAATCAGGGTGGATAATTTCAGCCTTGACTATTTCTTCAGTGGAGATATTGATAGCTACAATTATAGCTCTGACCTGCCTCCCACTCTACAAGGTGCTGCCCCATGCCACCCAGAGAACCTAGAAATCAACAGATATGCTGTGGTTGTAATATATGTCCTGGTAACCCTGCTGAGCCTCCTGGGAAACTCTCTGGTGATGCTGGTCATCTTATACAACCGGAGTACCTGCTCTGTCACTGATGTCTACCTGCTGAACCTAGCCATTGCCGACCTGCTGTTTGCCTTGACCTTGCCTGTCTGGGCTGCATCCAAGGTAAAGGGCTGGATTTTTGGTTCAGCCATGTGCAAGATATTCTCATTTGTGAAGGAAGTTACCTTCTACAGTAGTGTCCTGCTACTAGCCTGCATCAGTATGGACCGCTACCTGGCCATTGTCCATGCCACAAGCACGCTGATCCAGAAGAGACATTTGGTCAAATTTGTATGCATAACCATGTGGGTACTGTCAGTATTGGTGTCCCTGCCCATCTTAATTCTTCGTAATATCGTCAAGGCAAACTCTCTTACTCTAGTCTGCTATGAGGATGTAGGTAACGACACAACCAAGTGGAGGATGGTATTACGCTTCCTGCCTCAGATCATTGGCTTCCTCCTGCCACTGCTGATCATGTTGTTCTGCTATGGGTTCACACTGCGCACACTCTTCAAGGCCCACATGGGACAGAAACACCGGGCCATGCGGGTCATCTTTGCTGTTGTGCTTGTCTTCCTGCTCTGCTGGCTGCCCTACAACCTGGTCCTGTTCTCAGACACCCTTATGAGGACCAAAAAGATTCAGGAGACCTGCAAGCGCCGCAATGACATTGACATGGCCTTGAATGCCACTGAGATCCTTGGCTTCCTCCACAGCTGCCTTAACCCCATCATCTATGCATTTATTGGCCAGAAGTTTCGCTATGGACTCCTCAAGATCATGGCTACTTATGGCATTGTCAGCAAGGAGTTCTTAGCCAAGGAGGGCAGGCCTTCCTTTGTTGGCTCTTCTTCGGGGAACACCTCCACTACCCTCTAAGACTGTCCACATAAGCTATGTCCCTTCAGGATTCATTCTTGTCCTTCAGGATGGCTCATGTCCACAGACTGTGGTATCTGAATTGATGCACCACAGTTACAGGGAGACAGAGGCCACATTCTTCCCAGAGCCCCCCGCTGCAGAGTTTAGAACCCTTACCCTGGCTGTTCACCCCCTTCCATATTGGTATGCCTACTGATAGAGTTGGTCCATCCTAACACTGGACCCCAAATACTCTTTTCTAAGAAGCATAAATTAAAATTATAGTGAGATACTTCCTTCTATCCATCAGAATCCTCATCAGTGAGAGGAAGAGGTAGAGGAGAGAAAATAGCAAGTGTCATAAGGAAGTAGAGAAAGGGAAAGTTTTCACCTTACTGGTAGACCTGTACATGCCCCACGCACAGTGAGACAGAGCGTGCCATTATCCTTAAAGCGTTAAATATAGAACTACCACATAACCCAGCAAGTCCATCTCTAAGTAGGTACCCAAAAGAATTGAAAGCAAGGGCTCAGACATTTGCAAGCTGATGTTAACATCAGCACTATTCATAAGAGTCAAAGGTCAAAACAACCAAAATAATGGCCAACAGATGAATGGGTAAGTTAAACATGGTGTGTGCACACAATGGGAGACTACCCCACAATAAGAAGGAATAAGAAGCTGACCCATGTTGTCACACAAGTGAGCCTTGAAAGCATGCTTCCAAGTGGAATAGACAAGGCCCCAAAGACTAACCTTGTATGTTAACACTTAGGAAGTTTCAAGAATAATCGGGTAGTGGTGACTAAGGCTGGACGATGGAGGGTGGGACATCAGAGTTTAGTGGTATAGCTCTAGTTTGGGATTATGGAAGAGTCCTGAAGGTAGACCCTGACTATTGTGCAGTAGTGTGAAAAGTACCCATTGCCATTGCATTTAAAAAAATTAAAATAAGGGCTAGGTATTGTTTACTGGTGGAGGGCTGACTTAACGTTTCTGAGAACTCAGGCTGGAAACCTATCACCTCAACAAGTGAAAAGCAAAAGCTAAAATGGCAATTTTTGTTATGTATATTTTAACTCAGTATATATATATATATATATATATATATATATAAAATCTAAGTCTAAAAAGGTGCTTTAACCAATGAACCAATGCAAAACTATCTACCTTATAATTTCTTATAAAGTGTGATCATTAAATGTCTTTTTAAAACTATATAAACCACTTGTAGTTGGGTATTTATTTCAGTACTTTTTTTTTCAGGGTGGACAATGGTGAGCAGATGGCTTGAGAATTTGTTGTTTTAACTATTCTTTTTTTACATTCTTCTCTCTCCTTCTTTCCCTGTTCTCTTTCCCTCTCTTCTCTTCCTCTCTCTCCCTCCCTCCCTTCTCCCCCGTGTGTGTGTGTGTGTGTGTGTGTGTGTGTGTGTGTGTGTGTGATAGCACATGTGTGTAGATCAGAGGACAATCTGTCAGAATCTGTCCTCCTTCCACAATATGGTTCCTGGGTATCAAACTTGGGTCATCAGCCTGGGCAGCAAAGGTCCTTACTGACTGAGCCATCTCACTGTCCCCTGAGTGAGAGGATGAAAACAGAACCCTGCCTGTCCTTGCCTGTCTGCCCCTTCAGGCCCAGCCCAAGCCTGCTTTGGCTGAACATAGATCACTGGAGGAAACATGTGTTGAATTCCTCCAATGTTCCTAGGTCCTTGGATGGAACAACCCTTAAAAGAAGCAGGATCAGGCTTAGAAGACATAGAGGGTCGGAAGTTCACCGGCTCAGCTCCTTGGAGGAGCAGGGAGGCCAGGAGACCATGGGAGCTCCAGCAACAGAGCTCACTGAGAGTTCTTCCTCCGTTCCCAACACACACCCTCATTCAAGGTGTGACAAGCAAATACAAGTGCAGAGTGGAGAAGTGACTTGTAACCTGTCAGGGGAGGCAAGAGGTTTGAATCATTCTTAATTTTTTCTCAGGGAGGGGTAAGTTTGAGCTTGTGATGCATTGGGTTTTGAGATAATCTCACATACCCCAGGCTGGCCTGAAAACTCCCTATATAACTGGGGATGAACTTGATCAAAAGATCCTCCTGTCCCCACCTCCCAAGTGCTAGGATTATACATGTGCCCCACCATGCCTGGTTTAGATGGTGTCGGGGTTGAACCCAGGACTTGGTACATACTTGCCAAATACACTACCAACTGAGCTGCATCCCCAGCCCTAGACCATTCTTTCATCAGTATATCTTGACTGACAGATTTGCTAGGGGGGTTGCAACCCAGCAGCAACCAAACAAACAGCATTTGTCTCTGGAGGGCCTTTGTCAGCAAGGTTGAGCAGGAGGGCGGAATGAGGCTGTAGAGTAGAGAGTGTTCACTCACAACTGATGAAAAAGTTCAGCCAATATTGTAAGTCAGCATCATGGTCCCTGTTCCCTGTCCATCCAGGCCCTGTGCTGAACTCAGATTTGGGAACAAGAGTGACTCAGCTGTGCCTCTGATTCAGCAGGCTGGAAATCCTGAAGAACACGTAGAGCTGCCAGAGGGGACTGGTGTGGTTCTGCCTGAGCACAATATGATGACTGTCAGAGAGAGGAGGCCAAGTGAAGGCTCACCTTTGCTCCAGGTCGCTGCTCTCTGCTCCTCTAACAAGGCCTAGCAATGCCATTGTGCACAGAAAATAGGAGGCTCCAAAACCCCAGCACAAAAGAAGTTGAGATTGAATCACACTGACGTGACTGCTGTCTATCCATCCTCACCGCGTGTGAACGGTCTCCGCACAAATCCTTTACCAGTCAGAGCATCACCAGGAAAAGAGCAGATCCAGAGCTGCCTTTGAGTTGTTGGTTCTCTTCCTCGCCACACTCTAGCCTGGGCTGTCTTAGGGGCCCGTCCTTCTCTGCTTAGATCTGTCTGCTCTGGATCCACTTTTCTGGCTTCTGAACTAGGTTCCTCTACTTACTATTCTAATAGTGTTGCAGTAGACACCTTCTGTCCTGATCCTGGTCTGTCTCCCTCTGTGTTTACGATGTTTCTCCACATACATTTGCAGTCTCTGCAGGATAGGCTTCCTTTACTCAGCAAATCCAGATAGCCTCCAGTCCCATTACATAAACCAGGCCCGGTCTTGAACTTACAGTCTTCCACCTCGGCCTCTCCAGCACTGGGATAGCAGCTGTGGACTTCCACAGCTGGCCAATGGCTGATGATGCCTATCTTAATGCACACCCTCAGCAATCCAGGAATCACACTTCTGGAACCCTGTCTGACAGTCATACTCACATAACTCCCATGGAGTGGGTTTGTCCCAGAATTCGGTCTAAAAGCCAAAGCTTGGAAACAACCAAAGCATCCATCACTAGAGACATGGTTAGAAAAACTATGAAAGTGTATCCACACTGTAGGATGCCTGGAACGTGGTAGCTTATGAACAAGACTGGAAACAACAGTCCTGGTGGCTCATACCTTACAGTCCTAACACTAGAGAGTTTCATTCCATCTTGATCTACGTAGTGAGTTCTAGGTCAGCCTGGGCTGGGGGGGGGGGGTATGCTAAATGAAAGACTCCGGAACAGAAGATAACTTAGTGATTCTTTTTTTAAAGAAAATGTCCACAGAAGGCAATTTTATGGAACAGAAAAGATATGGGTGTCTGCCTGTGACAGGAGGTAGGATACCGGAACAGGATTGACTGCAAGCACAAATAAGGAGTCTTTTTTTCTTCTTTTTTGTGGTACTGATAATCAAACCTATTTTAATCACTTTCCTGGTGCTAAAATGCCCTGACTAAAGCAACTTGGAAGAGAAAAGTGTTATTTTAGCTTAAAGTACAATGGCACAGCCACCATGATGAGGAAGTCATGACAGTAGGTCACATTGCATCCACAGTCAGAAAACAAAGAGCTGATAAATGTTCCTTCGTGTGAGGTCTAGAATCCAAGCCCAGGCACAGCCAACTTTTGCAATGAGTCTTCCCATCTCAATTAACCCAATCAACATAATCTTTACAGCATGCCCAGTGGCTTGTCTCCTAGTGATTCTCTGTCCTATAAAGTTAACTACTGAACATCACAGGTCAATCACCCATTGTGTGGGTAAAAGGACTTACCCTCCAACCTGATGTCCTGAGATTGAGCCCTAGAGCCTACACAGTAGAAGGAGAGAATTAACTGCTGCAAATTGTCCTCTGACCTCCACATGTTCAACACAACTGGACACACCAACCATGCACTTGTGGGTACGCACACACATACACAAAATAAATAGATGAATAAAAATGTAATACAAAGTGTCTTAAAGCTCTAGGACCTAGACTCAAGTTTAAAACTCGCAGACCAAAAGCAATGGAAAAAGAACTACTGTGTCAAAAATTCCTCCCTAAGGGAGACATAAGCAATCTCTACCCCTCCTTCTAGGGTCTCAGTGATAAACAGAGGTAAATTCCACCAAAGTTAACTCTGGGGAAACAGTGAGTTCATTATTTACACAGCAGTGGGTGAGAGCTTATGAACAGGACCATAGGTGACCTTTAAAGCAGCCACACTGGAAGGTCTACACCCAGCATGGGTGAAGATTCCCCTATGACTGTGTAGATGGAACCCCCTCCCCTAATCCTTCCCTGACTCTATATTCTAGCCCTTCTCTGGGCTATGTTAAATTGGGCCAGAATTGCATACAACCTATTAGGAAGGACCCAAGACCGTCCTGTCCACTCCTTCTGTGAATGAAGGTCAACAGTCAACAAACACAACAATAATGATCTTTCACAAGTAGACACAAGTTGATCTGATGACCATGGTGGCTGTTTGGCTTGAAGGCTATCCTCTGCAACTGATGAGAAATATCCTCCTAGAAAGCCCTCACTTTCGGGGCTGGATCCTATACCCTCTCTCATCGCAATCTCCAGTCTCTAACGTCCCCAACTCCTACTGGCTCTAGCCAATGGGAGATGACCTGCATTGATAACTTCCCTGACTACTCCAGCTGCCCAAGGAAAAGCAGCTGTGGAAGGGGGCAGTGGTAAGGAAAAGTAATCGCTGCCTCAACTCAAGGCCCTTCCCCCAGCAACACTGCACAAGATACCTTCCCAGAGGGAAGGACGCTGAATACAGTGCTGATTTCTCAACAGGGTCTTGCAAAGTGTGATGTCAGGCATGTTCCCCTGGTCAACTGGCCAGCTTCCCTTCCCTTGCTCTGTGCCAAGCTGACTCCTTGGCAGGCTGAAGCCTTGGTTCCTACTAGGTGATCTGCTACAGGTTTGATCTCTCTTTGTCCTTCTGCCATTGCCCCCAAACACATCTCTCTAATTATTTTAACATCCATCTTCCTCCCAAAGAGTAAGCCACCCCACAAATAACTCCATCAGGGTTTCAGGAGTAAATAAGGGTCCAGGAGGGACCTAAAGAGGCACAAATGACCAATCAACATATAAAAAGTAACCCTGTCACACTAGGAACTTGGGATATTGGAATAACATAAAATAAAAGGGAACAATAGAGCATAGAGGCATACACTTTTAATCCCAGCACTCTGGGGTCAGAGGCAAGAGGGTCTCTATGAGTGTGAGTCCAGCCAGGACTAGACCCTGTCTCAAAAAGAAAAAAATTGAGGTAAATAAATTATTGAGGAGAAGATGGAGCACATGCCTATAACAGAGACAGCAATGAGTTAGGTGCAGAAAAAATAAGACTACAAAGTCGTTTTTGGCTACTTAGTGAATTCAAGCCCAGCCTGGGCTAATGAGACTGTGGCTCAAACAAAAACACAACATTAAAAGGCTGGGGGCGGGGGAGTGGATAGCTTTGAGATCATGTTTGACCGTCCACCTCCAACATTCCAAAATAACTCAGAGAGGATCTCCAAAACTATGGACACACTCCTGTCTTCAGCAGCTCTGAAAAGTCTTAGCTGGCACAACACAAAACATGCCAAATCCTCACCAAATGTGCCAAATCTCTCCACCCTTGAAGTTATAGGTGTCAATCTGTGGATACATCACACCCACACCAAGGCTGCCATGGACCCAAGCCTGGAGTGGACTGTGAGAGTCAACTCAGACCAGCCTCTGAAGTTGACCTTCTCAAAAGGACCTCAGAATGGAGACCATGGCTCAGCTCCTACTGTTTCCTGATGTCTTTCCTGATCTTTAACTTAAAACTAGAAGAGCAGGATGGTGTTGGAGAAACAAACAGACCCAGGTGGCACTATAGGAA